TACTTCCCGTAATCGTCTATCTTTGGCATCTACTTCACGGGCCACGCGTCCCCTACTTATGAAACCCCTGAAGCTCAGAAGGAACCCACTACTGATGCCCCTGCAGATAGTTATTCATGTGGCCCATTTGACATCTTCTTACTTCATCTCTATGGAGACCATGTTGTTAGGCATGTCTGGAAAGGAGAGGTATATTTATTTAACTTTGCATTACATTTGTTTTAAACTAATTTAATCGCAACTGATGGTTATTTCGTTTTTTAACAGGAGCATCAATGTTTAAAATTTGTAAACCTTAAAAGGAAAATATTGAATTTGGAATATCCTGATGCTGACTGGTTCAAGAATGTTATCCGCTACTCTGGTCTTGTCGGATTATGTGTTACTGCGTACACTACCATAAACCATGACATGCAGATGATATTTGGAGAGTGATGGAATTTAGATACATCATCTTTCCACCTTCCTATTGGGAAAATAACCTTCATTGTGAATGATGTCTCATGCCTCTTGCCTATTCCCATCAGGGGGAAAGGACTAGACCACGACAGGCTCGATCAAGAGGAAGCCAGCAAGATGTTGGTTTCATATTTAGTGGTTGACCTAACTGATGTTGGTGATGATATGTTGCTTAGTACCACATAGTGTGCGTTAAGGTGTTACCTCCTGTTCCTACTTGGCAAATCCATGTTGGTGGACAAAAGTGCAACCTACGTCGATGTGGTCTACCTTAAATACTTCAACGACTTGATGACAATTCACGAGTACAACTAGGGGACGCTTGTTTGATGACTACAATGAGGATTGGTCTTGTGCTTCCGCCTTTTCCACGCTCATAGGGAATCAGGTGATCGAGTCATTTCGGGTGTATCTTGATCGTCATGTATCATATGACATTGCCTTCTGTCGATACGGCTACCACCGCCAGATGCGTCATCTAGTCCTCATTTTGTTATACTCCGAATGGATAGCATGTGGGTCAAGTCTAATGTATTTGTATATACCCTGCGATGCACCATTTTAAATATTTGTAGATTATTCTGAGACACCCCCATAGTCTGCTCCTCCCACCGTCTGCCGCAGTGAACCTGATGCGATACTTGAGTATTTCGAGATTCATTTGGTACCAGAGGAGTATTGCAGGATTCCAGGTCCTGTACAGTGGATTTATGTAGACAACTGCATGACATGGTTCAATATGGTGTCACACCTTATCATGAAATCAGACGCTTCTAGAAGACCACATAGGTCATATAACTAAGAGGTACTTGAGACTATAGATAACCACACCCAGGACATAAGCATTGTCTGCCAACGTATTGCATATATGGTGAGAACAGACATAAAGGCATTACTGGCAAAGCACGGAATGCCTTGCAGTACAGGCGGAGAAGCTGGAGGTTAGACATACTCAGGAAGTTGCGTTTGATTGTATTATTTTTTGTATTTTCTAAACAAGTCATGTATGGTTTGTCCAATACATTTTGATTTAACTTTAACCAATATGTGATTTTTTTTACTTTGATATAACTTAATTTTACTTTAATATAACTTGGATTTTAAAAAATTATAATATTGGGACAATGTTGTTGTCTTAAAACCATTCAAGAGAATTTTTAGAGATGCATCTTTGAAATATCTCATGTGTGCAATTAACATGCTTTTAATATTTTTTAAATGATTTTAAGAGATATTTTAGAGATGCATTTTTGAAAACATCCTAAAAAATTTACGAAAGTACACTCTAGATCATAATTTATAAAAATTGGTGTGTGACTGAATAACGAAAATTTGTATGATTTTAAGTATATCTGGAGATGTATTTTCGGACAAAGAAAATATTTTTGAATTTTCTAAAGTATTGGCCGCACTCCAAGCCCGAAAATACATCTCCAAATACACTTAAAAAATTTACGAAAGTGCATCTCTAGATCATAATTTATCAAAAATTGGTGTGTGACTGAATTACAAAAACTTGTATGATTTTAAGTATATTTAAAAATGTATTTTCGGACAAAGAAAGTATTTTTGATTTTTCTAAAGTATTGACCGCACTCCAAACCTGAAATCAGCATTTTCCAATTTAAAAGACCTTATTTAAGCTTATTAGCAAGTCTTCATGATAGAAGTAAATGTCTAAGGGTTTGTTTGATTTGTTTTTCTAAATTTCTTTAATTTAAAAAAAAAAATTGCTAGTTTAGTTTTATGAAACTATTTTAAAAATTATTAAGAGTTTTAAAAACTAGAAAAAATAAATAGATTTTAAATGTTTTAATTTTTTAATTTTTATAAAATTTAATAAGAGAAAAAAAAAACAAGAAAAAACGTTACGCTTATTATTAATGGAAAATGTAATATTACTTAATTTTAAAATAATTTTTAAAAGTGAAATTTATCAAAACAAGATTATTCTTTTTTTTAACTCTTTCTTAAAATTAATTTACAAAATTATTTTTAAAAACTAAAATTCATTCAACAAACACAAGTGTTTGGTGGATATAAGGTCATGGTTTAAAAATCGAATCGGCCGGTTCAACCGATTGGATCGTTAATCGGAGATGAATTTGGTTGGATTAATTTTTTAAAACTGTTAGTGAGTCATAATCAGAGTTAAACTGTAAAAGTCGGATTGAACCGTCCAAAACCATTCGAACTAAAGAACTGGATCCGATTTTGTAAAACTGCCGGTTCAAAAAATTTCATCAAACTAACTATTTTTTAATTTTAATTTTTTTTTAACTTTAATATTTTAGTATCAAAACTTAACATATATTTCTCAATCACAACAAAGAATTTCGTGTGTTTTTTACAATCATACAAACTTCTATGTTTTGTCACTTTATTATAGTTTTTCTTTCAACCACATTTCACTGTCATCATGCCGTCTCTTTCAAACATAGTCACATATGTCCAAGTTCAAGTCAAATTCAATTTTTTGTTGTTTAATGAAATATGTTGTATTATTTATATTTTAGTATTCTATCTTATTTAATTTAGGTATTTTTAATTATTTGAACTTCATTTTAGTTATTATATTTTATTATTTTAATTTTGGTTTGAATTAATTTTATTTATTTTATCGTAATTTTTTAATTTCATAAAAATATTCTTAAATAATGGTTGAAATGTTTTATATTCTGTTATGTATTATTGATATTGTTGTACTAAACTTGTAATAGGTTTTTGAAATATTTTTTTATTAGGTTGAGAACATATAATGATGTGTGACATATATATGAAATTTAATGCATATTATTAAATTATTTAATAAACGGTTAGATTTAACTAATTTAACCATTAATCATAAATTTCACCGGTTCGATTTTCAGTCTGATTTTTAAAAATCAATCCGATTTTTAAACCATTGATATAAGATTTCTCAAATTTCAAAATAACGTATATAAAGATTTATAAAGTAAACCTAAGAGCAATTAAAGGAGACAGTAAAGTCTTTTTCTTTTCAATTAAAAATTCTGAATTGAAACTCAATCTTAAATCTTAAAGAAGAATTTTGTAATCCAAAGATTAATCTCAAGAATTATATGCAAAGAGAATTTCAGATTTATAAAATAAAATAAAATAAATTGTATCTTATGTAAGAAGAAATACAATACCTCACTATTATACATGGACACTTTTTTAAAAGTAAGTTATTAATGATGGAGATTTAGTTATTATAAGGACATTTTTTAAAAGCCTGAAATTATATATGTAATTAATCTGATAGGCGAAGTTAATTTCTGAGTAATGAATGTATTCAAGTGATTTTTCCGGACACATTATTTTAAATTTTTATATATAAGACTAATTGAACAAAGGCATTTTTAATTTTTATAAAATTTGTAAGAACGGAGAAAATAAAATGAACAACTCCAAATAAAATCATTAAAGTCCTAACTTTAAATCCATCAAAAAGATTATCATCAAAATTTCATTATATATATATATATATATATATATATATATATATATATATATATATATATATATATATATATATATATATATATATATATATATATATATATATATATATATATATATATATATATATATATATATATATATATTAATTAAAACTTTGCTCATTTATTATTAAAAATATTGGACCAACACTGCATGTGATAAACATTAGGAGAAAAAAAATAAAGATCATAGAATACAAAAACAGACAAAAAGTGAAGAAAAAGGGGTTATGATGTAAACTTACAAAATGTTTTTGTTAAGAATAGCATATTTAATAAGATATGCTATTAATATAAATGGGGACAATCGCCTACTATCAAATCAATTTTATGAAATTGAATGAGACTCAACGAAAGTTACAAGTTTTCTACACGTGTATAACATTTCAAGAGGATTATAAATTAGTCTGAATTATTGCATAGCAAGGAATATGGAATTTTACAACCAGGAAAAGTGTCTAGCTAGCAACAAGTATGTTGACCTAAAAAAGCATCTATATGTTCCAATTATTGCCGGAAAAGCATAAAGGCAAAGATTCAATTGAAGGAATAATCGGTTAACGACAGAGCTTATGTTATATACCAAATAAATGGTTATTGAATGTACGTGAAAATGCATGATTAAACACGTTGTTTGAATTTTTCATGCTACCCAAACAAAGAAATATGTTACATAAATTTGTATGTTTGAAGCCATATATTCATCTCATCAAATATATATGTTTTAAATAAAATATAATGGGACATTTTGAGTATATATGGTTAATAACTTTGTGACATCAGTAAAGTTCAGCTCAAGTGACAGTATTGATTTTGTTAAGTTGGGCATCTTCACCCAAAATCTCACAGTTATGTGTGAATTTCGGGTGATGTTTATCGATTATTGTGTGTACTGTAAACTTCGCGCTAATATTTCTGATCTTACAATCATTTTTCTCGTACACGAATTTAAAGAATGAACAAATAAAAAATATGATGCCAAAGTATAGTGATTGCTTAGTACATTAAGGAAAATGTTTTGGCAGGAACCTTGGTTTAGCTTTTCGACCTGAACAAGCCAAGACCTAAAACTCTCTTCATCTTCCTGAAGATACCAGAATTCTTTCCTTTGGTGTGCCCTCCCGCAAGCTCTCCTGCAAACGATAATATTTTAGTGTCCCCTGTTGATGTGTGAGAATTTCCTATGGGTGCTAAAAAGAGGAAATGGAAATTACTAAAATTTGCATATCAATCTCATTGAATTATACTAGTTTAGTTTATTTTAGCTTTGAGAAAGAAAATCGATGTGAACAGTCGAGAGAAAGCTAAATACCTGTTCCCTCAGGGACATTAAAAGGAGAAGGTGCATCAGAGCTCAGAAGATAAGGTTTCCTTGCCCAATACTCTTGAAACCTCTGTTTCGCATATTCCTTGTAATCAAATTCAATTGTGTTTACTTGTCCCTGAACAAAATAAACAGAAGATAAGATAATGAAGATTGAAGAATAAAATTTCCTACCCCTATTCCTGATATACCTTAGTCCATATGGAGAAATTCTTATATTCTAGTTCTGTATGTCATTTTTGTAAGATTGTTTTCAGTGGTGCATTCTCATCATAAATTTTTCCCGCATGAAACCAGCCACAAATAGTAAATACCCTTGCCATTGGTTTGAGCAGTTGCATTAAAATAAGGATTACTTATCTATTCTATTTCACTTTCTTTTGTCAGTTAATGTATCTATTCATAGAAATAGTGCAGAAAAACCTAGTGTGATTATTGAATAACTTCTCCCTCTCCAAGGTCTCAGCCCACACCGAACCAAGAGTGACAAATAAAAAAAATAGTTAGAAAGGGCACATACCGAAATTATTCCCCAAAGGCCCCAGAATAGATGATTTGCAAGTGTATATTTCTCAACTTCTTGAAGTAGGTGCTCCACTTCACCTTCACTTGGTTCTTTACCTGCACTCAAGTCCCATAATTTCAGGAACACAAAATAACAGTACACTTCTTAAGGTCGTGCATGGTTATATGAATGATGGAATACAAGGGTACATTGAAATATAAATATTGTTTGTTAATTTTAGACATACAACTTGTTTGTTCCAAACCATGAAATAGGTCATTGATGTCGGCTAATTGAAAACTTCAAAATTTTTACACTAAAAGATTAGTCAATGATGTTAAATTAAAAAACAAAACAACGGTCATTTAACAATGAGGATATATATTTATAATTATAAAAAAAATCCATTACCTGAGGTACTCAAATATGCCATAATAAAGCTTACACGCTCATCAATATCTGTCAAGAAAACCAGCTAAGTGAATATTTTTTTCCAGGACACAATAAAATAATGAATAATTCAAAAAGCCACGAGTCACAGCATACCAGGATATTTGGTGTAATCAAGAATATGAGGCATTTCGGTATGATAATTCGCAGCCATCTCACAGAAGTGGTTTGCTATATCATATGCTATAGGATTGTGACTTGCATATTCATAGTCCTGTTACAGACGTAACATTAAATCATACTTGCTTAACATTAAATCATACTTGCTGGTTATGATCCCTTAATCTTGAGACAGTGAATTTTGGCAAAAACAATTTAGCAAGTATAGACCAACTAAATGGCTCAGTGAATCAGTTTCTCATACTTCTTGCCATGCTAATGAACAAATAAACAAATAGGAAGGAAAGTCATCACATGAAAGATATATATAACCTCACAAATTATATCAAAATGATTCCATTGTCTCCCAAGATTTCCAAATTATAAAATTTTGATTTAGCCTTAAAATGTAAAGGAAAATCACGGCAAGAAGAAAACCAACAACACTCATCGATGCAAGTCTCAGGTTTGCTAGTCTTAAAACATAATCACTTTTAAGTCGTGCTATTGAAACATCGCCTTTTTCTTTCTCTTCCATAAATGTCGGTGAAATTCAGTTCAAAGAGGAAACAGGTTAAATACTGCGATAAAAATTACATGTACTAAGGGGGAAACATTTTATTTAAATAAAGTTCATGGCGAGGTCCTTGTATCACCAAGTTTCCTTTTTACGAGAAGACAATTAGAAGAACTAAATATTTCTCCGGTGTAGGCCCAATGGGAAGTTAAATATTAATCATTTTTCCGCAAAGGTGTTAGCATTAGAATCAAAATTATTTTTCCGCAAAGGTGTTAGCATTAGAATCAAAATTTTACTGGCACGAAGAGAAACTCACTATTATGGTTACGGAATTGGTCTCTTCATCAAGCATTATGTTACCATATTGTAAATCATTGTGGCAAAATCCTATCCGTTGGTCTGTGCCTGATAGTTCCTTTTCCAAAATAGAGATTTCCTTGTCGACTGTGTCCAAATAAAAAGCTTCGACTTCCTTTGGAGAAGACAAACGTTTGGCCTCAGCAAGCCAATTTCTGAAGCATTGAAAGGAAAATATCTGAGAAATGATAAATTTCTAGCAAAGTTTATACAAATGAGACACAACTAAACTCTTATTGCCACAAATAAACTCATTTTAAAGGTGACTCTGGGATGGATGTTCAGACAGCACATACCTCAATGTACACCAAAGATTGACCTTCTTTTCACCAGGCATATCTAGATCATGAAACTCCTTCATTTTGGCCGCTATAAGAGCAGAAATTAATGGATCACGTAGATCAGAAGCTGACAGTGTCTGATAATTCAGAATGAAAACATGGAATATATGAGCACATCGAGATCATAAATTTTGTAGTTCATTGTTTCTAAAAAAAAAATCCTAAACTTACGACACATTACGGTGCAAGGTTAATAAAGAGAAAAAAAAGGTAAATTTGAAGTTATGTTAGTTTATAATACATGCATTTTGCTGTTTTCAATCATTAACCAGATAAAACAATTTTCCAAATGTTGGTTTGAGTAATATAGGGCCAGTTTGTTTTAGCTTTTTTTTAAAATGGTTTTTATAGTGTAAAAAAATTTTACAAAGAAGCTTTTCATAAAAGTTTCAAATAAAAATTTGATTTGAATAGTTATCTTAAAATGTTATTTTAGGTATCTCATCATTTTATCAAAAATTTTTTTTTGATATCAAATTTTCAAAAAATCACTTAATTTTTAAGCTATTTCAAATAACTTTGCATAAAAATCATTTTTGAAATACAACTTTTTGAAAAAAACCGTGATTTTAACTATGTTTTGTTCTTCAATAATGTATATTTATGTTATAGTAAGTCAAAATTAGTCTTTTAATTTATAGAAAACAAATTTAGAAAAACTTGTAATATTTTGAAAAATATTTTTGTAGAATCCATTTTCAAAAATACAAAGAAAAAATCCATTTTTTTAAAGCTAAAACAAACTGGCCCATAATAGAGTACTAAGAGTAAAAGTAATATCAGTATCAGATTACCCTTGCATGGATAAACTCTTCAACACGTCCATTTGTAAAGCGTCCTAGTAGACGAGGTCCTTGACCATTTTTTGACATGTATTCAAATGTCCGTATTTCATCATCCCTATTAAAGAAAATGTCCACGCCCTCACCATAGATTCTAACTACAACCTTCCGTGAGGTTTCCCCATTTGTAGCTGGCCACTTTATTTGGAATACCTCATTTGTCATTGCCCCCTTGAGAGGGATCACCTGCAATGCATTTGCGTCTAGTACATCCTCCCATTTACCTGCCAATGATATCAGTATCTCCTTTGCTTCTACTGGAAGACGGTCAATTTTGTTGCTTACGGTGGTTTCAAGAGTATCTTCAATGTTTGACGGGATTTCAATGGCATCTGCTTTCCCTTCTACAAGATTTTCTGCAGCAACTAAAGGATTCACAGAAGTCTCCGCAATATTTAACTGGTCATTCATGGGAGTTTCTGTTTCTGCGCCACCTGCTTGGTTGTTTGCAAGATTTTTCGCACCATTTAATCGGTCATTTATAGGATTATCTGCTCCTGTACCACCTGCTTCATTTCTAGGGGTTTCTGCAACATTTGCTTGGGCAATTACTGGATTTTCTGAACCACCTGCGTGGTCACTTAAAGGATTTAGTGTGTTTGGTTCAACTTGATTTGGCTGATCATATGTAGGATCTCCTGTAGTACCAGTGCCGTGGATAATGGGATTCTTAGCAGCACTAGCTGCACTGTTTACAAGATCATCACCTGCATCCATTGCAGAAGAATCCGAAATTCCGGTCACAGCAAGGATTTCCTGAAAATATCAAGTTGCCTTTATTTGTAACTTAAATTACTTGAAAAACAAGGAAAATTCCAGAACAAACAAAAGAATGTGATTGAAAAACATCTCATCAAAATGATATATAAATAGTTGCTGATCACAACTACAAACTAAAATGATGTATTGTCGTCCCTCTTCCTCCTTCCAGCAATAAGTGGATAAAGTTGAGAGGGAAGGGAGAAAAACCATATATTGGTTTAAGAGCAACATAAAAGAATGAGTTGGTTAATAGCTAAGACTGATGCAGAAAATCCCAATATTGTTTAGCACTGAAATTATTAATAATAAGACTTTAATTGACATATACTGTCGGTGTAAAAATATTTTACACAGACATTGAATCAGAGACGTTGAATGTTAGAAAGTGTTTGACTTTTATTTTAACTGCCCATAAAGTAACGCAAATGGATGATAGTGATGAATTGACAGTGTAAAACCTTTTACACTGATAGTGTATAGTAATTAATCTCTAATAATAATCTAGTATCTCATTTATTTTCTGTTTATTGTCAAAAAGTAGACAGGCCTAAATTGTATAATAGACACCAGCAGAGCTAGCTGAAATTTTAAGAGTAGAACAATTATAAAGAAAAAAAAATATGTTTTTTAATGTCAAGTAAACAGACTAACAATGTCTTCTTTAATACAAAACATTTTAGTAATTTGCAAGAGACTAAGCATCTATTTTGATTATGAAGTCAAAACAATTTTTCGATATAAACAAAGCTCTGTGTAGTTACTATAGAGAATAGAGATTAAAAGTGTCAAAACAAGACTAATAAATTTAACAATCAACATAGACTCAAATGATAAATTATTTACTTTCCTATTTCTACTAATGTTTGACAAATAGACTTATTTGGGGTAGCTAAATCTACACAATTAGAGTAGTTAAATATAAAAATACCTAACTAGCTTAGAAGAAGAATAAAATCAATAGGTCATTTTGTCAAACGAAGAGTGTGCTACGCGAACATGAAAAGGAAATAAATATCATTTATGTTTGTATCAAAATGTCATGATAAATGTGAAAGAAAATTACTAGAGTCAAAATGCACCAATGTTGACGACGAGACACTCTCCCTAACAACTTCAATTCAAAAAATTTTGATATTAATAAAAATTGCCTATGCTCCAATGACATGTAATACTTCAAAAATGCCCAAAGATTGACAAGCAATTATAAAGAAAGAGATAACGGGAAGAATGAAGTGAAACTTCAAACCCTCTTTGTTATATAATAAATTTAATTTTTTATCCGAAAATAGTATAAGATTAGAAATGATATTATTAGTGCTGGGTAGCACCTTTAGTAGAAAAGATGGTGAAAACTAAACTTTGAGTTGTTGAACATGCACATGGAAGACCTGTGAAGATAGTCAAACCGCTACAGATAGAGGTAGAACTAGAAAAACTAAATGAGAAACAACTAAGAAAGCTCTCAAGATAAATGAGTTCAAACATGATTTTATATAGAAAATTATGTGGCTTAGTTTGATCCATGTAGCCGGCCCCACTAAGTGGGAAAAGGCTTGGTTGTTGTTGAATCCCAAAATGGGATTAGATTGGGAAATACAATCACCAGTACCACAACCAAACTTGACCAAACAATACATAAGTAAGCCGAAAGTTTCATTTTTTTTCGGGCTTTTACAAAACAAACCTAGGCAAATTGGGGTATAAAATCACCAAACAACACACTAGGTGAACTTAACCCTATTATGTAATTTTAATAACTAGAGTCTCAATAAAAATCAAACCAGCGATCTACTAGTAAGTTGAAACAAAATCACATTAGACCAATTTTCTAGAAGCCCGTCAAAAACATCTTTCTATAGAAGCAATACATATGTTTTATCTATGATTGAAGCATAACAATAGCATCTAAACATGTTAACAACAATATCTATACATGTTTTCCTGAGATATAGCAGCTATAGCATAATAGTGTAACGAAAATTGAACAAATTGTTTCTGTTTCCCAATTCATTATTTGTTATAAAACATTATCAAATAGAAGCTATTTACAATGTGATAGCATTAGCAAAACTTGAACAAATCACTATTTTCAGCAATTCGGGTAATATCAATCAATGATTGAAATGTAATAACAATCACAACCACAACTATTGGAATGTAATAACAATAGCAACCACGACTATTGGAATGTAATAACAATCGCAACCATAACTTAAAACCTCGCTCCTCAGAACCAGCAAAATTTGAACAAATCCCTGTTTTCAGCAATTTGGGACATATTGTAATAACAATCGCAACAACCACAGCTTAAAACCTTGCTCCTCAGCACCAGCAAAATTTGAACAAACCACTATTTTCAGTAATTCAAGTCCTATCAATGATTGAAATCTAATAACAATCGCAACAACTTAAAACCTTACTCCTCTGAACCACATGGATTAAAATGCACTCCAAAACATTAAAAAAAAAAACAAATAATAATAATAATAATAATAATAATAATAATAATAATAATAATAATAATAATAATAATAATAATAATAATAATAATAAATAAATAATAGTAATAATAATAATCCTATTGATCAGTCTGATGGCCTCTCACGCCGTGACAACGGTATCAGAAGGTGTCGATACCTATACAGTTAATCACCGTTTCTATAATAAAGAACACATTAATTCACATCGTGACTACCGCAATTATTTCGTAACGACCGAAATCACAAAAGTTTTTTACAACAGTTATTTAAAACCTTGTTATTGATTGTGATAATAATCTGAAACAATCCTAATCAATTAACCTTAGCATCATAATCCATCATCTCGATTTACATGAATTCAATCATCTTCACAATTGCAACAAAACAATGTTCTACTCGACTAAACATGCAATAGAATTCCAACGCCAGAAAAAAGAGAAGTTCTCATCACAAAGCATTGAATCAACGATTGTTTTGTTTTTTGAAAATAAACAAATCAATTACGTATCAATAGAACGCTAACCTCAATCGATAAATTTGGCGGAGGAGAATCCAAACCGCGAAGAATCTGAAGAAATGAGCGAAAGAATATGAGGAGAACCGCGAGGCGGTGACCGGGGAAAATGCCGCCGGTGAAGTCGAGATAGAGATGGCGTCGTTTAGAGAGAGAAATATAGAGGAGAGAGATAGAGAGAGAAAACAGTTAAGATGTTTTTGAGAAATGATTTTATATATGAAATGAAAAGAGAACGGGTTTTATTTCCACCGCCAACGAATAAATGGATGGAAGAAAGAAAGGTGGTGCAACTTTTGGTGCTATTAAATTTTTGAGAAATTTTTCTCTTAAAATTAGAATCCTCATTTCTAAAATTAAACTCAAAAAAGCTTTAAAATAATTTAAATCAAAATTAATTTCTTCCATAAATATAGTTATAAATTTTTTTTATAATTAAAAAAAAACATGTGAAAATCTCCCTTGTAAAAAAATTATTCATATTTTTCTAATCTTTTTTTAATTTAATAAATAAATAAATTATTAAAATTTTAAAAATAATTAAGTAAATTGAGATAATTTCTCGAATAATCAATTTAAATTTATTTTTTATAAAAATACTATACATACAAATAAGTTTTTTATTAAATATTTTAAATATTATTATTAAAGTAAAATCATTGTATATAAAACAATTATTTTAATATTCGTTTATATTTTTGAAATTTTAATAATAATTTTAATTTTAAAATATATAATTTCATTAATATTTTAAAAAATATTTTTTTAGCATATTATTTTACTAATTTAATATTAAATTCATTTTAATTTTTTAGTTATACCTTGTTAAACTTCAACTTTTATTTTTAGTTATACCTTTTTATTAATGCACTACTGCAAAAGATTTTGCCATGTTGAGCCCTTGTGTTTTGACAAATTGAAAAGGTCTAAATGAGATAATCATATATCTTCTAGAAAATCTAATGTACCATGATCCAAAAAAATGTGGGTATCAAATGTGAAGTCTTATCGTTTTGTAATATTCTTTGCAACTCAAAGCTTTAATGATAAGCAATGAAGATATGTCAATCAATAGATATACTCTTAAGTATACAATAAGTCCGTAATCCAAGAATGTGCGATGATGGTATCAAAGATAAGGATCAAAGCAATAATTTTAAGAATTTCTCAACGTTTGTGATCCTTAGTTATCAGTTAACCTCGTAGAAGGTTGATTGGACATGTCTGTGATAGACTTATCCATATCGTTGTTTGTACTAACTCTCACATCCAAATATGCTTAGAGAAGGACACGTCATAATATGTTTGGTGTTCCTCTTTAAGGTAAGCTTTTATTAAACTCTTTTGATATTTAAGTTAGTATAATATTTTAAGGTTGCAATGATCAGAAAACTTCGATTAATCCTTTAAAATATTGGCTGTAATTTTGCAAATCTAAATGAATTATGTCTACTAACTAAAAAGACGAGTTTTTAAATGTTTTATAGAAAGGAGGTGTAATGACGCCGAACAGGGGTGCATCAAAAAAGCTCAAAACCAAACATGCTAAAAATGGGGCACCCAATCAATTGACACCATGATTCAATAGATTGAATCGTCTCAAAACTCATAAACTCGAACATTGGAGAACACGATAATGGCTAGTTTGATTAGCAATTAATGTAATGTCTAGTTGCAACGGTTAATTCTCAAAACTTAAAGCTTCCAATTAATTAGCATTATCATCCAATCGATTGGACATAAGGTATATATAGAGGTAAATTTCTCATTTGTTGCTCTCATCTCACTCTCTCTTATGCAAGTTGAAGGTGGGTTTACTTTATGAACTTTGTTTTTCGTTACTTACTTTTAAAGTTTTCTAAAATGTTTTTAAACTCTGGAATTAATTCTAATCAAAATCAAAATTTTCTTAAACACACAATTCACCCCTCTCTTGTGTATGAAGTCACATGTCCAACACA